TCAGCACTGCAGTGTAAGCATCCATGAATTTGATTTCTTTTTTTTTTTTCTACATATTTTCAGCCCCTTCCAAATTATTAAGCTCAGGCCCACTTTCAAAAAAGGGGAGGGGGAGGATTCACAGCAGAGGCAGGCAAAAAATAATATATGCCCTGATCATTCTCAGATTTCTCCCTTGGCCAGAGTTTGAATGTATAGTGTCTGGATAAATTCAAGTTCAATAGCAACACTTTTTTCCTGCAAGCCGTCAAATAATGATGCTACAAATAATGCTTTCTACTGTCTTTGTCTATGGGATTCCACCAGCTGCTCTATAACATTCTGGCAGGGCACCAGTGCTGCCTGCCACTTTAAGAGGTGCCGGCAAGCTACGGAGCAGCTGGCAGGTGGGCTCAGGATCAATCACCTGATCACCTGATGGCTTGGAGGTAGTCTGATTGGAGGAGGGCTGATAAGTCAGAGTATAAGCCCTGGCTAGGTACCAGCAGTTGCAACTGGGGAGCTGAAGGATTAACATTGCCCAGCCTGAGGACTACTGCTCTGTTAACACCTGGAGATTGGGGTAGGAACTATAGGAACAGAGAAGGTTCCTTTTGGTCCTGGGTAAGACCTGAAACTGCACCCTGCTCGGGTTGGATGGTGTGGTGGGGCTGCCTGTAGCGGGGCAGTTTCCAGGAATTGCCACACCTGTGCCTCCTCGGTGAAAGGCAAGGAAAGCCTCAGCTCCCCACTGCCTTGTGGGTACCCCATGGAGAGGAAAGGCTAGGGGAGCACACCGTGAAAGAACAGCATCCAGCAGTAATGCCACCGGGACCCTGAGGGGGAAGGGTCTGGAGGGGGGTGAAGGCCCATTGGGTAGGGCCTGAGGCCTGAGGGGTATAAGGCCCAGAGTAAAGACCCAGAGGAAGGGCCAGAGTGTGACCCAGTGTGGGGCAGAGTGAGCCTGAAGGGTCACGCAGGGTAGGGCTCAGGTGGGAACCATAGGGCTGTGTAGAGTAGGGCCTGACCGGAGGGGGAGCAGCCCAGTGAGGAGCAGAATAGTGTGACCAGGAGCCCAAGGCCCACAGAGTAGGGCCCGAGGCCAAGTTTGGGCCAGAGGCCCAGTGTGGCCCAGCAAAGGGGCTGGGGGAGTTGCAAGTGATTTTGGATGCCATCTGCAAGACATGGGACATGGTATTAGGGAAGATTCAGAGCCGTGTATTTTGGCCCTAGGCAACAGGGCAACAAATGGGCAGCCTCCTGCATGTAAACATCAATTGTGGTATGAACGATGCATGCCACCAGAGGCTGGTGGAGCACAGCAACTGCCCACAGACAACAGCCACAGCGGTGTCATCAGTGGGGGGTGGCAAACATCAACCAGCAGTTAGCAACCACTTGCATTCGCTGCTGCAGATCAGGGACTGCCTGCAGATGCCACTGGCGGCGTCAGCGGTGGGGGGAGGGGGTGGCGAGCGGTGACCACCCACAGGCGCTGCTAGCAGCATTAGCGTCGCTTTTTGCAGGGGGTGCATCACTAATATCAGGGCATGCACATACACCCACATGCACCCCCTACTCTTCGCCAATGATTTGTGGTAACATCAAAGGCATGGAAGGCGAGTGAGGGCGGACTGCCCTAGACAAGGGGCAGGCCAGTGATGTACTAGGCCCTAGAATGGCCTCCTGCTACAAATATACATGCCTTCAACATCGCCTCCCCATTTAGGGTATAGCACAAATGTTCATGAAGTAGTCTGTTGTTAGGAAACCCCAACCTGGTAGAGAACAGAGCAGAACATCTCTTCAGGAATATAGACTACTATAGTACAAGCTGGTTCTCCAATCTTCACACCAAGTTCCTACGCAACACTGAATCAACATCAAGACAAAATCCTTGTTTTAAAAAGTACTTACAAAAGCAATTGCCAACACACACACACACACTAAGGGAGCCTTTCATATAGCCACTTAGAGAACAAGCCAAATAACAAAAGAACTAAAACTTAACTTATGAAACAGAGAGATATGTACGCTCAAGTGTAAATCACATTTATAATAGAAAACATGGGAAAGCAAAGACAAGAAGAACCTTCATTAACATGCACACACAAGCTGCAAGTTGCAGCTTAGACAATGTGCTTTTGGTAAAGTTCTATTTTATTTTCAAACAGTTTGTGAACTTCAGCTTCTTGTGAATCCTTAGAGCCCTCTTGAATCATTTTTTTCTATCACGGCCAACTTCATTGCAATGCTCCATACACACCACCCTTCATCTTATCTTTGACTCAACCAATTATTCCCTTCAGTTATGCATAGTTAAGAATGACTGTATATTATATAAGGATGTTGAAAACTTCATGTTTCACTTTCAGGAATGTTTAGGGATGTAGCCGGACTTGGAAATCTATTTTTTTTTGTTTTGTCTGTTTTTGTTAAGATGCCCATGGGTCTCAAGGAAATGAGAAATAAAAGTAATATGGTCAAAGAAAGTGCCAGGGTTGTGCACCCTGTGACAGGGACAGCTCCTGTGTCATCCATCACCAACCTGCTCCTGTCCTCTGCAACCTGCCTGCGCTCTTCTGCCATGTCTTGATGTAAATAGATAAAGAAAAATGCAGGAGTCTACCCTTTTCATCACCTGAGGACCAGGGCCTAAATACATGGCCCTGAACTCCCCTTTACCATGCCCCATGCCTTGCAGATAGCATCCATACTAGGTACTTACTATCCTGGCCCCACTGAACCATGTTGTCCCCTACTTATGGGTCTCTCTTCATTACTCAGCTCCTATTTGGGGTTTTCCACTCTGCTCCCCATTGGGCTCATGGACCTTATACCTCCTTTGGGACTCCGGTGCCTTCAAGTGTGCCTAGCCCCCCACTCTCAGTTTACAGGCCTTCTACATAACTGCAGTTCTTACTCTGTTTCTCAGGCCCTCTAAGTTGTTACCAGACTCTCAACCTCGAAGGCTCTCCAAGTGACCACAGGCCTCACTCTGTTTCCCTGAACTTCCAAGCTATACTCTAGGATTCCTTCACATGGGTCATTGATGCCCAAGCCCTCGTTCTATTTCCCCAGTCTTCAGAACTGCTACAGACCTCTCTCAGCTTCCCTGGCCATCTAGGTGATCACTGACCTCTCTCTGCCCACTCCACACCTGTCCCTATTAAAGGGGTAACTAACCAGGTCATGGGGGCTGAGGCTTTAAGGCACCCTATCCCTGCCTTTTGCTGGGGTGGCACAAGCGCAGCATTTCCTAGAGGCCACCCTGCCACGGGCACCCCCACCGCACCATCCAACCCCAGCAGGGTGTAGTTTTAGGTCATGCCCAGAACCAATGGACCCGCAGAGCCCTGTCCTAGAGCCTACCTATTTCGCTGTTCTCTCGTTGTGTCGTGTTACTCCAGGGCTGACTCTCATCCATCCTATATCTTCTCATGCCAGGTAACTCATCTCCCTATGGCCTTCAGGGGTTATCTAGGACTTCCTTCATCTGTCCCCTGGTGTCCAGGCCCTCACCCCTCATCTGTAGTCCCTGCTACATTAGGGACCTTTGGCCAATATGGCCTTGGCCCCAGGTTGGGCCAGTCGGGCACCGGGCTGACCATTGCCAGGTTCCAACATCCCTCTATGGCCCACAATCTCCAGGGCCCCTTCTCAGAGTCATGGCCCTCTCCATGCTGCTCACCTCCCCATGCTCTAATCTACCTCCAAGCATAGGTACCCTAGGCTCGCGCTCTCTCACTCATGCTGATCTTTTCAGGCCAGAGCCGGGTTCAAGCTCCTCTCCTGCTCTCCCAGCGTGTCTCACCCTGGAAAACCCAGTTCTGGGCTGCCCCAGCTTCTATTCCCCTTGTTTTCACTGAGCCTTCTTCCGGCTGCTCAGGCAGCCACAGCCAGGCTCTCATTCTAGCTGCACCAGGCAGCATATCAGGCTGTAATTATCTTGGGCCTTCACTAAAAGGCCTAGCCCTTCTGGTGCAGCCTTCTCTATATTGAAGAACCCCCCGCCCTGGGGTCCTCTGGAGCCTACTCCGGTACTCCCCTCTCTTTCTCAGGGAGGCAAACTTCCCCTACTGCCTAGCGGGGAGTAGCAGCCAAGTCCAACTAGGCTACTTAGACCCTGATGGCCTCCACCTGGTAGGGTTTCCTAGACAACAAGGCTTCCCCTGAGCCTACTACTCAGATTTTAGTGGTATGCATGCCTGCAGCTGTCCTAGGACTGTGTTCCTTCCAGGCTCTCCCAGCTACACCCCTTCCCAGGAAAACTTCAGCTGCTGCTGCTTGTCTCCAGAGCTCCCCAGTTCCAACTAGCAGCCCAGCTCCCTGGGTCTGGGCTTATACCCAAGCTGCCTAGCTCTCCTCCAATCAGGCTGCCTCTTAACAATCAGGTGACCACCTAAATGTGCCTGAGTGCACCTGTTGACTGTTGTGCAGGCTGCCAGCTCCCTTTAAAGTGGCAAGCACCCTTATGTCCTGCCACATACCCTATTCATAAAAAGGAAATTTCTCCTGGAAGACACTTCATAGGAAAAAAAAATCTCTAATAATTTCTATAATCAAAATAATCTCAATATTACAAAGATCTTTTTTCCCCATATCCCAGATTTTCAAAACAAAATTATTTGCTTCTACCCTGCAAAAGAGTGTCATTTAAAATAACCTCAGGAAAAACAAACTTTTTTCCGGAGTTTATTCACTTATATTTTTTCATCTAGAAATATTTTCCCCAGCTATGTTAATTATGTAAATAAGCAGCTGTATATCTAAAATAGCACCCCAGAGGTTTCCCCAGCTTCAACAGTAATAGCTGAATGTTAAGCACTTTGAATTTGAAATCTGACTGCTCATTTAGATGTCAAGTCTGAGGTTCCTGTGTTTGAGTAATCTATGCCTCATTTCCTTCCTGTGATTATTTTCCCTCATTTACAATTGCAAGAAATTTTATGAAGTGTAGTACAAAAAAGGGTCACTGGCCATTTTCAGAGGAAATGGAGTTAAAATATGTAGTCACTTACCTTTCCTTTTTTCCCCATATTTTCAAACTGAATGTCCCCAAAGGCATTAGTAGGGAGTTCCTTTGTGTGTTTCTTATAATTCCATTTCTCATTCTTATTGACCTCAGTGCCTTCTATATGCTGGCTTTGCAAATATCCACATTTACACATATTGTCCCTGGTAAAAAAAAAAAAAAAAATGAAAAGGAAGAAGAAACAGTGACCAACAATTTATTAAAAAGTGGGAAGAACAGCAGCCTGCCCATAACAAACATTTATGCAACCACTATTGCTTGTGGAAATACAATTATTATATTGCAATTACCCTCACAGGAATAAAATACCTCTAAAAGGACTGCACTGTGAACAAATCTGAATCCTTAAGGAGCTTAGACAAAAAGGAGGAAAACAACTTCTACAACTGATGACTAAACAGCTAAAGGGAACTAACACAAATCAAGAGCTAATGTAGGTTCTCAGTATTTCTGTCTTGGACCTGCTCTGGAAACAAAGGTCAAACTGAGAGTAATACTTCTGAGAGAAGCCACAGCACAGTCCTCCAGCATCCCAAGATGTTTTGCTCCTGTCCCCTCTTTCCTCCAGGAGACTGTGAGTTGCTTGGGCTGGACTCTACTGCTCCAGCTCAGCAAAGAGCAGAACATACCCACTTCACAATCCCAACATTATGCTGTAGGAAAATACAAGCTGAGGTTGAACAGTCTGACTCAGCCAATCAGGGCTGCCCTGTACACTGCTTCCATCTGTTTCCAGACTGAGGTAGTCTGTAGAGCACACTGAGATATGTGCACAGTAGGGCTGTGCAAAATGTCGGCAGCCGTTTCATTTCAGAGGTGTTTTGGGCCATTTCAGTACCTGAAACACCAAATCTGAATTGAAACAGAAGACTCCCAAATAGCTCTGTAATTAATTGGAAAGCTCCAAAACATTTCAGAAATGTTTCAGAGAATTTTGGAGTTTTGGAGCCGGGCTTGCAGGGAAACAAAAACTAAGAAAAGGGAGGGGAAAGAGGCAGGGAAGGACTGCTCTGATATTGACATCTAGCTCCCAGTTTGATTCCCCAGCTCTCTGATCATTTCCCCAGATCTTCCCAGCGGGTGCAGGCCCCCGGATCTGCACACCAGGTTTCAGCAGGCTGCTGCTCAGTGCAGCCTGCACCGAGTGCCGGGAAGACTGCAGTGCTGCTGCTGACAGAGCTGGGGGAATGATCAGAGAGCTGGAGAATGAAACCGGGAGCTGGGGAATGTTCAGGTCCCTGAACATTCCGGTTCAATTCTCCAGCTCCCTGATCCTTCCCTCAGCTCTCTAATCGCATCTCCCAGCATTTCCCAGGGGGGGTGGGAGGGGAAAGGGGAGACCAAGGACAGGGGGACAGATCTGCGTGCAGGATGACAGCAGGCTGCCGCTACCAGCTGGGGATGGCAGTGGCTCTGGGCTATTTCCCTAGGCGGCAGCAGCAGCCTGCTGAAACCCTGAGAGCAGATCCAGGGGCTTTTCCCCCTGAGAAGAGCTGGGGGAATGATCAGAGACCTAGGGGAAATGAACAGAGAGCTGGAGAATCAAACTGGGAGCTCAAGCTGACAGATGGATCCACCCCCACTCTAGGACAGCGTGCAGTGCCCCGCCAAGCCACGCTACACCTGTGCCATGGGGCAACTGCCACACAGGTGCCAGGCAGGGGGACCGATCCCCTCTGTCCCACACTGCATGGGGGGGCCTCTGCCATGACTGCCCAGAGGCCCCAATCACCACTGCTGTAGCCAGTGAGTGTGGGGCTTTTTTCTTTTTTTTTTTAAGCTCTGCACTCACCAGATGCACCAAGCGATTCGGACCTCTGGGTGCTTGTGGCAGAGCCCCACCATGTAGCACAGAGCAGCGGGGATTGCCCCCCACCAGCTGGAGTGCATCCACCTGTCAGCGAGAGGCCAGCACTGCTCAGCCTCAGAGGCCCCAGCTCCCAGACAGCACTCAGTGCCCTGCCGAGCCACACTGCACCCGCGCTATTGGACAGCTGCTGCGCAGGTACCAGGCAGGGGGAGGTGATCCCCGCTGCCCCATTCTGCATGGGGGGGCTCTCCCACAAGTCGTCAGAGACCCCAGTCGCCACCGCTGCAGTCAGGGAGTGAGAGCCTTTAAAAAAAATAAAGCTCCGCACTCACCAGCTGTGGAGCATGCAGAATGACCACAGGCTGGTGCTGCCAGCTGGGGCCAGTGCCAGCACCTGAGTCTGCCTGGGACAGCTCATGCTGAGTGCCAGGAAGACCCCAGTGCTGCTGCTGGCCCCAGCTGGCAGTGGCAGCCTGCTGTCATCCCACAAGCAGATCCAGTGTCCTGCGTCCCCCAGGAGGGCTGTGGGGCTGTACCAGACTCCTCCCAGAGGGTGCAGGCCCCCAGATCTGCATGCAGGATGACAGCAGGCTGCCACTGCCAGCAAGTGGTACTTGTTTTACTTTGAACAGTTTGGGGTGCGTTTTCACAAAAATCCCTGCACCAATCTCCTTGAAACTTGGCAAACTTCATGCCCTCAGAAGGGGTTACTATCTCTGCAATTGTCATCTGAATCAGGCAAGAAATTACAAAGTTATAGTCATTTTCATGATTCCCCATTATAGCCTATGGCTGAAACACCAAAACAGTGTCAAAACTCCAAAACAGATTCGGCCAAATTGAAATGAGACAGTGATCTGAAACACTGAAAAGAATCACTGTCCCTCCAAAATGCTGAATCCAAAACCAAAACGAAACAAAGCCATTTCACACAGCCCTAGTACACAGGTCCCCCTAAATCCTCCATTACCCCTGCTCTAGCTGTACTCCAAGTTCCCTGTTCTTCAGTGACCCAGCATTTGAATGTCTGTTCAGGGGTATGTTTTTCTACTAGGAAAACAAACCCAAGAGAATCCTCCTAGATCATTAGAATGTGCACATACAACAATGAGTGTCAGTACAACTGCATTTGCAAATCTCAAAGACTCAGATTATGCAACAACAAAAATCAAGTACCAAACACACCACAACTCCAGCCTACCCTGCTTTATATGCATCCTTCTAACTTTTTCTGCCTTTGTTTGTATAATGTAGAACTTCACATCTCTCCCTTTTGTTTTACTTAAAGCCTGGTATATTAGTACCTTCACAGTCATTTTATTAACTACAGGGATCTGGGGGCTGGGCTCAAGGGACTGGGGGCTCAGGTAGTGTTTCTTCTGTGCTCCCTGTTGTGGCCATGGACCCAAGAGGGAAGGCTGTGTGAAAGAAGTAAACAGATGCCTCTGACAGTGGTGCTACCATGAAGGCTTCAGTTTCTTCGACCACAGCATGCACTTCAGAGAGAGGGGACTCTTGGGACGAGATGGCATCCACCTCGCGTGGAGAGGTAAGTCTCTGTTCTCAGCCAGGATGGCTGATCTACTAGACAGGGCTTCAAACTGACTTTGCTGGGCAACAGGGAAACTCCTAGTGGAGCATGCCTGGGGCCTGGCACACAGGAAAGTTCCCATGTGGAGGACACTAAGATAACTGTTTTTGAAAATGCTAATGGAACAGTTCTCCCACAGTGTCTCAGGAAATCAAGGGTATCAGTTGGGGGCCTCAGCTGCCGGTATACCAATGCCAGGAGCATGGGGAATGAGCAGGAGGAGCTAGCCCTCTTGCAATCTAGTGGGCAATATGACTTGGTAGCGATCACAGAGACCTGGTGGGACTCCTCGCATGATTGGAGCATAGCCATAGAGGGCTACACCCTGCACAGAAGGGACCAAGCAGGGAGAAAAGGCAAAGGGGTAGCTCTGTATGTGAAGGAGCAGTACACCTCTCTGGAGGCTGACATTGGCTCCACAGATAAGCAGCTTGAAACCCTCTGGGTCAAGCTTCGGGGTGGAGGGGGTGGGGCAAGTGAGAGAGACCTCCAACTGTGGGCATTCACTACAGACCTCTGAATGAAGGGAAGGAGCTTGATCTAGAGTTCTCTAGTGCAGGGAGACTGGACTCGATGATCTACAAGGTACCTTCCAGCCCCTAACAATCTATGAAACTATGAACTGACAGAGGTCATGCATGCAAGGAACTTGGTTGTCATGGGTGACTTCAATTACCTGGACACAGGTTGGGAGGAACACTCGGATAGGTCAGATTGGTCATGTAGCATCTTAACTGTAATCAAGGAGCTCTTTCTGACCCAGGAAGTGCAAGGACTAACCACAGGTACACTCTCCTAGGCTTGGCCTTGGTCAAAGGAGATGATCTGGTGTGTGGCTTGAACATTGAGTGTAGCCTGGGCGACAGCAACCATGAGCTCATCAGGTTCACTGTCCACTGCAAGGTTTACAAATCAACTAGCAGGATTCAAGTCCTGGACTTCAAAAATGCTGACTTCAACAGGCTCAGGGCAGTAGGAGAGGCAATGTGGGAGCAGGGACAGAAGGCTAATGGGGTGCACAAAGAGTGGTCATTCCTCAAAGACACGATCCTTGAAGCACAAAAGAAAACTGTTCCCATGAAGAGGAAAGGTAGCAGACGGGTTGGCAAGCTCTCCTAGCTCAATAGGGACATTACAGTCCTCTTGAAGAAAAAAAAAGAAGCTTACACATACTGGAAGCTAGGGATAGTCTTCAAGGAGAACTATACAACAGTGGTCTGCACTTGTAGGGAAATGATTAGGAAAGTTAAGGCAGTGACTGAGTGTAAGTTAGCCAAGGAAGTCAAGGACAATAAGAAGTCCTTCTTTAGTTATATAGGGAGCAGAAGGAAAACAAATGGAAGTGTGGGGCTTAACACCTTGGGACTGCTGGTAATGGACACTCTGGAAAAAAATTAACTCCTGAATGCCCACTTTGCTTCAATACTTCACCAGACCAAGGGGAAAGACAAGTGAGATATGGATCACAGGGAGCATGGTAGGAATGATAGCCTTCCCACTGTGGATGCTGAGCTGGGGCAAAACCAACTAGAAAATCTAGACATTTATAAGTCAGCAGGACCAGATGGACTTCACCCAAGAGTGCTGATAGAGCTGGCTGAGCTCATTGTGGAACCCCTTGCAAAGCTCCTTCAATAATCATGGCACGCAGGGGAGATCCCTGAGGATTGGAAGAGGGTCAACATTGTGCCCATCTTCAAGAAGGGGAAGAGGGAGGACCCAGGCAACCCAGGCCAATCAGC